CCTCGGGGAAACATTTTAAGTCAATATACTTCCCGTTGACCCGCTGACAATTTGAATTATTCTTTTATATCATTTAAAACTTGTTTCCCAGAAAGTGGGCCAAAAGCTGCCTAGATGGGGTCACTTGTTTAAACCACTCTCACCAATATACAGTAGTATGTTGTCTGTCATTCAAGCAGTACATAATAAAATGACGTCATATAAGGGACGCTTAACGTTGCATTACATCAGAAATAATTCCAGGTATTTGTAGAGGTTTCGATAATCTGATCAGATGGGAAATAGTTTAAATTACTTATTTATTATTAAGCTACACGACTGTATCCACCACGGATATCGAAACCCGGTTTTCAGCGTTCTAAGTCTTCAGACCTGCCGCTGAGCTACTGGAGATGGGGGGGGGGGCAATTTAAATGTGTTAAAAAATAAAAAAGAAGAAGGCATTTATTTAACGTATATATTATAAAGAAAGCATTCTCAAGGCGAGTAATTTACATGTAAAATTATTGTGGGGAAAATAAAAGTCTACCGAATATTTTAGTAATAAAAAAATCCTAATTTTTCATAAACAGTTAAAAACATTTGAGGATTAACATCGTCGTAGAAGCTTTTGGTACTGTGTTGTTATCTGGTATATTTCACAAGAAATGTCAACTCGTACCTCTGTGCACATGGACAAAGGTTATACTCGGTAACTAAGCTCCGCAATACTTATAGATAGATTATCAATATCAACAATTCTTTCCTTCCGTTAGCCTCTTGCAGAAGGTCTTATCTTTTAAATCAAAAGCTATAGTACTCTAGTTAATGTACTGGTAAAAAATTAAAAAAATAACTTGGAGAATGGCTTGATTTTATATTTATCCAAATCAAAATACGTTAACTTATTATTTTTTAATAAATCACCTCTCCCTGTCTCTCTTTGTATAAACTATTGATGTTTGTTTAACATGACACAATATTTGTTACAGAGATAATAAACTAGTTATTGCAATACCTGACAAAAAATACAATTATATACATATATTAATTAACATCGCCAGATGGCAAACCACAGATTTCGAAGAGTTTGTTTCTATGTTTTGTTTTAGAGCAAAGCCATACTGGGCTATTTGCTGTGGCCACCGCGAGAAATCGAAGTCCGGATTTTAACGTTGTAAGTCCATTGACTTACCTCTGTCTCACAGGGGAACATTTCGAAAATAATCCTACAGTTATTGTAAAGTCGGCATTGGTAAGAAATGTTCATCCTTGCGTTTTTCTTCCAAGTCAGAAAAAAAAACTTAATATTTTATTAAAACTGCTATCACAATATTAAGACAAGAGCAAAATCCAACATCCGAATTGAATCAAATCATTACTTTGACTAATGATTAAATTCTACATCACCCAGGAAGTTTTCTGGTCTAATGGGAATGTTCGTTATATGATCATGTTATGTAAAACAAACAAATTTGTTACATACATAGATATTGGACCAAAAGATATAAGAGTTATCATTACATTACTGATATTGTAATTTGACAATATCATTAATGTATTTATTAAATAAACTCGCATTTTGTACTTTTATAAGAACTTACTTTTAATCGTTCTCATACAAGACGACCTTTGACCCACTGTGTTATATATATATAGTAATCAAGGTGTGGTCAAAATCCAATCACTTTAAGGAAAATTATCATTCTATAAAGTTTGAATAAAATCCGTTAAAAATAGTTAAGCTAGAGCTGTCACGTGCTCTCCAATCTACCGTCATCGGAGGCAAAGATAATGTTACTAGTATGATTGAATAACGAGTCAATAGAGATATATATTTAATCTAAAAAATAACAAGAAAATGTGATTCACCTAACTATAACTACTATTTTATTACTTTTATTAGTATACAGTAGAGATCTCTGATGGGGAAGTAAAAACGTATTTAAAAACACAAAATAACTAACAACGTTTCAGAACGCTGTTACTTATTTTGTGTTTTTAAATAAAAGTTTTAATAGCCCTATCAGAAATATCTACTTTACATTTACTTCAAGTGAGTTCCTGACATAGTGAAATATCTCTTCACCTTTAATAATGGATATACTGTATACAAACTTGTTATAAACTGTGAATGATAGTGGCTAAATTATCGAACACTTATAGATTTGAATGCTGTTTTCTTTTGCTGTGTATTGTTGCCACACTATTTTCTTTTTCCTGGATTATAAGTTGATAAGCAGTTGTCATGTGACAACAAAACACTTCGAGGCTACCTTTTCGAGGGGTTTGAATAATGTTTTTTTGTTGTTTGTTTTTTTCAGATATTTCACTAATGGATGAGCCCATAGAAAATCTAGGAAACTGGTTAAAATATATAAGCACACATTCCATCTTGAACTTCTTTTTTTGACAAAATGTTAAGAACAGTATAGAACAATGTATATAGTATATAAAATTAGATTACTGCCGCTTGGCGAAAATAAACAAAAGATAAGATTTATAATGAAGGCACAATGAATAGCAGAATTATGAAGAAGTAATATCAAGATCCGTTGTGCTAAATTAAACTACTTTTAGGCCTGCCATCTATCGACAAGTTATTTCACTATATTAAAAACGAAAACTATTGTGCTTGTACTTTAGCTATCGAATAATTTTGGAAATCATGGGAACTACTGTTATGTTACAAATAACTGAAGCTTGACTTAAATACGAATTATCATTCAATTTGTCTAATCCAATAAAACTTTTAATTAAATTTGAATTAGCAGATAGACGTTTCTTTTTCCCAAAACATCTACTTTTTTACAATATCTACAGTGGAATGTGATGTTTTATCACATGTATTAAACATGAAGTGATATCTCACAACGAAAGTTCACGTATTTCACGTCTTATCATTATGTTTTTAGCAATCTATGAATTCTGGTATTAAATAATTTCGATACATTTCCACTTTGTAAAGAACTAAGAAAAAAACGCACCAAGTTAAAAATTGTAAACAGTTATTTCTTTCCTTGGAGCCTTTTTTTTTTCGCTTTTAACTTAGATGCGTAAGTTATAAGAGATTTAATATTTCGATGCTAATAAAGGTCCCAAACAGAGTTGGCTTTACACTTTGAAATTAAACATTGTCGAATATTCTGAAAATATTCACAAGTCCGTCGAAGAAAATAAAGCCGTTCTCTTCATTCAAATTTAAAATCCCTTTGTTTTTCAGATTGATTACTAAAATACTGTAAGTTATCGTGCGGGTAAGTACACACATTCTGTGTATACTTCTATATTAAATTAATAAAATTAAGACTACTAAATAAAATTTAGAATTACCCCACTAGATGACGCGGTAAATATATTTTAGATTATTTTTTTCAAAATACGTGGAAAAGTTTCTTGTTTTTCATAATGATGTCAAATAGCTTTATAAATCAACGGAAATATTATATTTAAATATTTTATTTAAAAATATCCAAGGAATTACGATTGAGTTAATAAAGACAAATCAGATAATTCACAGTTAATAAAATCAATAGCAATTCTGTATGGAAAACTTCCAAAAAGAAGAGTTTAACTTTTTTTTTTTACATATTTGCACAAAGCTATCGACGCTAGCCATATCTTATTTTGAAGTGATAAGAATAGAAGGAAGGCAGCTTATCAACAACACTCACCGCCAACTCTTAGGTAACTCTAATCGAACAGTGGGAGGATTTGACTAGAACGCTAACCACCCTTCGATATGCGTTTCTATCAAGACACACAGTAATGTGTCGTGTGACAAAAAAACAACCTGCTGCAAAACGCATTGTGTGTTATTAACAGGAATGGTAGTTTAGCGATTTTCAACCTTCTGTAGCTCGGGCTGAGGTAATCCAAACTATCGCATATTTTCAGTGGACGTGCTCTACTGGACTCTTACTTCACGTATCAAATTTCAAGACAATTCATTAAGAAATAGCTAAGATATAATTTTGATTGAGTTTCTTCCTATATATTTTTTTCTTCGCACCAAAAGTACGGAAACTTTATTTGATAGAAAAACAAACTTAACTTTCATGGATTTTTTTTTTTAATTTTGTACACGAACACTGTTTTACCTACCATCATGCCCTAAGTTGGAATAAAACGCGGTTTGGCTAACTAATGAATGAATATTTGCTGTATAATTCTTATCAATGCTATGAGTGTAGCTACCAGTTTGGCCGCCAATTTTGATTTCATTCTTTTAAGTCGCACACTCAATCCTTTTTTGGCTACATCTTTTTTTTTCACACCTAAGGTGTTTTTAATTAGATAAAGTAATGACTGTAGTTGTGTTTTCTATGAAACTTAATGTTTATAACTGTGTTATACGAAACAAATCTTGTGTTATTACTAGTGCTTTTCCAGAATATGACACATTGTTCCCCGTTTAGGTCAAATTTGTTTTTGTCCTGTTTCTTAACCACTTATTTATTTTCTAAAGTCTTCATTGTATTTCAGAAGTATTTTTTCGCTAATACCATGATATTAAAATCTATATTTATCATTCTATAGTGTTTCATAAATATACCTGTAACAGTATTTTTTTCTTTTACCATATTATTTGGTAAGTTTTTTCTTACGATGTTATTTTGTAACAATATTTTTTTTCTTACCATGTTATTTTGTGACAGTTTTTTCTTTTTTATCATGCTATTTTGTAACAGTGTTTTTTCTTTTCATATAATTTTGTGACAGTTTTTTTCTTACCATATTATTTTGTAACAGTTTTTTTCTTACCATATTATTTTGTGACAGGTTTTTCTTACCATGTTATTTTGTAAGAGTGTTTTTTTCTTACCATGTTATTTTGTAACAGTTTTTTCTTTCCATATTATTTAGTAACAGTGTCTTTTTCTTACCATGTTATTTTGTAAGAGTGTTCTTTTTCTTGCCATGTTATTTTGTAACAGTGGTTTTTCTTACTATGCTATTTTATGTACCAATAAATATTATCCAGCTCCTTGTAGGGTAACAAAACGTACAGCATTTTATTAGTAAGATTAATACTTCCATGTAAAGGACATGAAATAAAGTTAGTAAAGAAATATAGTTTCTCACATTATTTAGTATTGTAAAACTTACCCTAATCCCTCAACTAAATTAGCAAGAACTGTAACTATTATGATGAACTACTTTCTTCAAATTTGTCTATTTCTATGAAGCACAATAGACTTTAACAGAATTTGCTTTTAAAGACAATTCACAGTATTTTCTTCAGACGACTTTCAGGGAAGAGAGCAGTTCACAGCAACACTGTAAGTAAAATTATATACAAAACTATTTGGAATAGTAGCAGTTTCATAACCATAGAAATTAGCTATTGATTATTCATTGTTTGTTTGTTGTTAAACACAAAACTACACAATCAGCTATTTGTGCTTTATCCACCGCAAGTATCAAAACATGATTTTTAGAGTTATAACCCCTCGGATTTACCGTTTAGAGACGATTATTTAATGCTGATACATATAAAACGCATTGAAATTACAAATATTTTTTAGCTGAACATCACTACTGATATAATCCTGGTAACTCGAACAAATGAAACAAACAAGAGAAATAAAACGAAGCTAGAAATTTCAATAATGGCAGATATTTTGAATGATCTAATATACATATATAGCCTGAAAGTAAGATAATAAAGTATGGACGCAACATAATTTTATTCCAAAAAACAACAACCAACTGTACTATATAAATATAAAGTATCCTCATGAACGTAGATAACAAAGGTTTGTTATACATAACTCTGAAAACTTTAATAGTTTTGGCAAAAATAATTGAAAAAGTGGGCGGCGAGGGGATAAAACACCACGGGGTCTAAGGAATAAAAGAGTTACAATATGTAAAGCCAAACATCAATTAACACAATTATATGTATAATCCTTAATTATATGTATATCATACAATTCCTATAATCCTAGAGGTAACTAACATAACTGTAATAAAAACATTATAAGAAAGTAAAGCCAATGGGAGCCTCATTTTCTATGGCCATTACAAAATTCATTTTGAGTCCAAGAACTTAGCCTACTCTGAATTCATTTAGAAAGCCAGAGTAACAAAAAAGTATAATTAAAAAAAATTCGGGAATTTATATATTTTTGCAAAATAAAAGAAAATATTACATCAACTTCAGTAAATTCAGTCGCAAAATTAATAAACATGTAAACAAACAAAAACGTACTATTGTGGTTTCAATAAGTCTCTTTCAGTCAAGATAGTTTCTAAGGTTTGGATATTACAGCCAGAACAAACTATGTAAAATTCTGAGATTCAAATATTCAAATTAGTTATTTATTTCAAGAATAAAATAATAAAAAAAGAAGATCTTTGCAGCAGTATAAAACACAGCGTTGCTTGCTTCCCGGTCACGTGATTTTATTTGCAAACTCCTTCTTAGTATCTATAGTTTGCGTACTTTTCCAACATGTGGTGCAAGAAAAACACCGTACATTTTTTTTCCGAATGGCCTCAGGTATTTAACGTTTGAGAAACTAAGCGAATGGTAAACAACAAGTGGAGCATCCTAATTAATAATTAAAGCATAAAATAACTTAATATCGTTGTCACAATATTGTAATACTCGTTAAACGCATCATCTTCCATGTGAAATTTTGAAATCAAGCAGGAAACTATAGGAAAATTCAAGTCTTAACCTCGGATTCTTGAATCCTCTGCTCCCACTGGGCGATCAATACACTTCGTCGTCTATGATTGTTCGGAGTTGGAGCCTAAAAACAAACAAACAAGAATATTCGAGAAATAAACATAAACAAATCTTCTACTTTTGTCTAAAATACATTGTATGGTTCACTGAAGTTAATGAAATTCAACTTTTTATAGCCAATGTTAACTGCCTTAGTGTTTTACCAGGCTTGCATCGAAATGGACCTTGTGAAAATTATTTCACTGGCGAAAGCTATAAAGGTCCTGACAGTTCCTACACCTGATTTAAAATAACTAAAAGAAAGTTTAAATGTCTTTAAAATAAAATATGTTTTAATGGCGATTTTGTTCCAAATAATAAAAATGACTCGAAATCGTCATTGTCTCACATTCACCAAGTTTGATGTATTTGACTACAACTACTGCGTTATCTTTCATTATTTCACACTCACCAAGTTTGATGTATTTGACTACAACTACTGCGTTATCTTTCATTATTTCACACTCACCAAGTTGGATGTATTTCACTACAACTACTGTGTTATTTGTTATTATCTCACACTCACCAATTTTCATGTATTTCACTACAACTACTGTGTTATCTTTCATTATTTCACACTCACCAAGTTTGTTGTAGTGAAATACATGGTGAGTGTGAAATAATGAAAGATAACACAGTAGCAAACTTTAGTGAAATACATCTTGGTGAATGTGAGATAATGACAGATAACCCAGTAGTGATAGTGAAATACATCAAATCACTACTATGTTATCTGTCATTATTTCACACTCATCAAGTTTGATGTATTTCACTACCACTACTGTGTTATCTTTCATTATTTCACACTCACCAATTTTGATGTATTTCACTACCACTACTGTGTTATCTTTCATTATTTCACACTCACCAAGTTTGATGTATTTCACTACCACTACTGGGTTATCTTTCATTATCTCACACTCCCCAAGTTTTATGTATTTCACTATCACTACTGGGTTATCTGTCATTATCTCACACTCACCAAGTTTGATGTATTTCACTACAACTACTGTATTATCTTTCATTATATCATAATCACCAAGTTTGATGTATTTCACTATCACTACTGTGTTATAATAACAAGTAATAAATATATTCGCCACTACCTCCTTACCGTGTTTGAATTAAAATACCTTCTTAAAACATCAACCGAAGAGTGAAGAAGTATAAAACAGCAGTTGGATGATTGTTTGTGCGGTAACCATTTAACCTTTTGAAATGAAAAAACAACAACAACAACAACAAAAAAAAAACTATTTCAAAAGCTTTTTTGATTTCGCAAAGGTTCGGTCAGATTTTAACCTGTCCTGTCTCTCGCACAGTGTATTTTGATATAATATCTAGATAATAAAAATAAGTCAAATCTCGTTATTAGTAAGATTTACATTTTATTTATACCAAAATAACCTTCTCGCTGTTAAACGGCAATTGGCTTTTAATCTTTCCGTGAAATACTTTTAGAAGTTGAAAAACTGTTTTTAAAGTAAATAGTGGATGATTGTCTTTTAAGATATAGGATTTTTTCATTGGGTTTTTGTAAAATTTACTGTGATATTTTCTAAGCTTTATAGTGTTTTCAGGGATTCAATAGAAAGTAAAATTATTCAACGAATGAAAAATGTCTGTGGTAAATATTAAACTGGTAGCTTCTGGTAAAAACAATTCTCTTGTTCCACTTTCACTTGCTCAATGGCCATGAAAACCAGCCATTCGTAATATAGATTTACTTCGTACCACTCAAGAGTTTGTTTTAAGTGTGCAAATTAAACGCTTCAGCGTAATGTAGACTTCGAAATCGCCACTTACGCTAAACGAGAAAATGCTTATGCAAAAAAAAAAACGCGATGTAACGCTGTTATAAATAGTTGAGAAACAAACTGTCGACGTACCTTTATTTCTGCCTGGTTTTCCATGATACCATTTTCGGACAGGTCAGGGTTGCTGCTGGACCGTTCTTTACGGATTTGGGAATTGTCTTGATCAAATGATTCAGTTTGATCATCATTGTCATCAACCAGTGTGTGGAGGTTAGGCTGTGAAGTAGCTAGATGACGAGCCCGCTGAAGCCTGTACGGTTGAAATACAACAATGATTAATAACAATATATTCCAGTCTTGAAACTCCCGGGCTAAGCAAGTACGACATACCACTTTAATTTGTAAACTGCAACATTAGAATTGTCCAAAATAATGGCGACAATACAACAAAAGTGTTAAAAAGAAAGCAATAGCAAAACACGGAGAGAAACATAAAATTCTGGAAACACAATATAATATGAACATGTTCAAAGCTTGGACAATGTTCTAGAACCATGTAACAACCAAGTTACAATGAACAAAGATAGCAAAACCCAAACAAGGAATCTACAATTTAGTTTAAATTATTAATAAAACTTAATTTTAATTTAATAAGAGAGATTTAGATCATTTTCTCATGTTCGAAAATATAAAAAAGTAACTCGTTGATCTTCATATTTAAATTGAAAATAACCGATATATTCCATAAATTTACAAACGTCAAAGCTATAGGGGATTGAAATACAGGATTTAGTTTTCAATAAGACGCTTGAATATGTGATATGTAGCTTAATAATAAAGAACTCAATAACCAGAATGTACACTATGTAATCAGAATAATATTAACTGATAAACTATGCTTAAGACTTCCTTGAAATTAATTTGTGTGCGCCATATAATCTGAAACTAACGTAATAAGTTAATTGTTTATATTTGTAACGCTATTTCGCAATACATAGCAATTGCTTTTTTTTTCTGTTGTTGTTGTTAAGCGCAAAACTACACAACGGGCTATCTATGCTATGCCCACCAAGGGTAGTGAACTCTGGTTTTTAGCGCTAAAAGCCTTCAAACATACCGCTGAGCTACTGGGGTGAGGAGTGGGGCTGATGGAAAATAAAATGATGAATTGTATTTGGAGAAAAGGCAAACAATTTGTATTAGATGTGTGATATCATCTAGATTTGTTTTCTTATTCTTTCTTGGCTTAGCATAGCCTGGTGGTTAGGGCGTTCGAGTCCTCGTCCCACCAAACATACTTGTCCTTTTTGCCGTGGGGGCGCTATAATGTGACAGTCAATTCCATTATTTCCCTCTAGTTTTTCACTGCTAAATAAGGGACGGCTTACAATTATAGCCCTCGTGTAGCCTTGCGCGAAATTCACAACAAACCAAACCATTCTTACTTTATAATACTCATTATTTACACCAAAATATATAAATATCTTGTTTTAGTTATTTTTCAGTAGAGCAAAAGAGCTTATACTAAATAGGTTTGTCCACATATGAATATGCTCAGATAATGAACAGCGTAATAAAACATAGGAGTAATTTTTGGGTATACATAGCTGTACTTTATTAAAATAACTTGTCATCAACTGCATTTTTTCATCCTATTTCTAACAATAGCAGCAGAAGTAAGACAGCGTGAGCTCTCAGTCCTGTATAAATTTCCCAGACGAGAACGGAAGTTGAAAAATGGTTATTAACCATCTGTTGTTTCCGCCTGAGATCACAATCTCGTAGACGAACATTCGAAAGGTCATGCGGAGTAAGTGGCGAAACGTTCATTGTGTTAGCTAATGCAGTATAGCATAACTAGATGTATAAGTTGAGTTAACAAGAAGAAATTTCTATATGAGGTTGTAATTTATTGGTTTTGAAAAAACAACAACAGAAGTATAAATAAAAGTAAACATTTATGAATATTTTGTAAATTGACGTTGCAAAATGTACTTATGATATTATTTTGTTTGCATTAATTAATCATGATTGAAATGCCATATTGGCATTTTTAACGAGTTTGAATACATTCATGAATGTTTCTGTTGTATTTATTTGTATCTGTTTTGCTAAAGTATTTCAATATCGATTTGGAACTGTAACATAATCCATAGATTGGTGCAGGCAAAATCGTTCTGAAGAAAAGACTCATTTAATGAATCTTTGCACAGAAAACTAAACTTGAAATGGCAACGAATTCCTAGACTAGATACTAGACCTTTCAAAGCCTCATCGAAGTTTGTTGCCATTTAAAATGACTAGTATACAATCAATATAAAATGAGTTCTTGTGGTTCGCTTATGATTATTGAACTTAATATTTTCGTGTTTTTAAGAAAAACACAAAACCTAACACTTACCGTAACTCTTCTTCTCGTTCTTTTAGTTCTTTTAATTCCTCTTGAATTTTTAATTCAGTTGATGGAAGAGATTTTCTATGAGTCAAAGGTGGTTTCCCTTCGCTATTCCCTCTTCTGACAACAACAGGAGCCAAAGTGCTGAAATTGCTATATGTTTGGTTTATATTTTGGACGGAAGAAGAACCTCTAATAAACGTAGCGGTTGGGTATCCATTGGAAGTACTTTTTAGATTGGAAGAAGATATAGCACGAACTTCTTTTCCTCGGCTGGCAATGAATCTTTGCATACTGATTCCCCTATTTCCTGCTGGATTTTGGACAAACCTTCGACCTGGTGGTGTAATGGCATTAGAAGAGTTTGAGGAGCTCGAGGGGGAAGGAATTCTTGTTTCCTGTCCGTTCATGATAGAAGAGGGTGTCTTGGTTGGTTGTGGAACAACACTATCTAGGACTACGCCCCGAACTTTCGCTGGTAATTGAAGTGACAAAGTATTATCTGAATCCACTGTACATGTTTGAACTGGTATTAAAAGTGGTGATGACGTGACATGGTTCGAGGCATCATCACGTTGGATTGAAGTTATTATATTTTTATGTTGCTGCGGCTCAACCGAATTTAAAGTTATATCTTCTTTCATGGAGAAATCCCCATCACCAAGTCTTGTGACTTTAGAATCAGTTCGTTCTTGCGAAATTGTCTGAATTTGACCACCTGCTCGAAGAGCCAGTTCACGTTCTGTCTGTTCATCAATTTCCTTCTGTATCCTAGATGTGGCCAGCATTTTCTGAGTGTTACCATTGAAAGTCGTAGGTATGGATGATTTTGATTTTGAGGAGTTGTGTGCATTGGAATTTTTGGTAGATTCCTTCTCTTCATTTCCTTCTGTTGTCGGAGACACCAAAATACGTTCTCTTCTTAGAGCTTCTTCTCTTTCTTTTGCTAAGCGGATTTCTTTTTCTACAGGAGACTCACTCATAGATTTAAAAACAGACGTTTCCTGAGTTCCATTGTCTGATAATGGCTTGACTTTTATATTTTCTTTCCGTCTGTTTGCGAAAGCAAATCCCAAATTATATTGTTGACCACCGTGCAAAGTATCCAAAGAAATGGCCGGAGTATAATGTCTTCTTTGTTCAGACTGAACAGCGTTTGTAAGTGGCGACTGGCGTTCAGAAGATAGATTATCACCACGCGAGCTTCCAGATTTTATAGAACAATCAGAGTGGTTAGTTTCGATACTAATATCGTTATCTTCTTCGCTTGGCGACGTCTCATTGATATCAAAAGAATGGACACGTTCACGCAGTTTTCGAAGTTCTTCCTCTCTTTCCTTAAATTCTCGGATCTCCATGGCAATTTTCGACTCAGTAGTATAATTGGTATAATTACTTTGAGACTTTTGCTGTAAGGGTAAAGGAGAAAATGACAGTCGCTCTGATTTTCTTTGGGACTCTTGGGTTAAGCCTACTCCCACTGCAATATTGTTATTGACATGCACCTGGTTTATTGGACTTGGAGAAATACTCTGTCTTTCTCTAGCAAGCATTTCCTCCCTTTCCTTCTGTAGTCGAATTTCCTTTTCAATAATACTTTCTTCCATTCTGCCAGATTGTACACTAGTCTGTTTATGAACTAAAAGGTTCTGAGCGGTTGAAGCTACGTTTTCGTAGGTACTCCGATGTTCACTATTAATGTCAAAACTTTGAAGACGATCTTCTACTTCGCCATCTGCAATACCTCTGTCTGAAAGTCCTTCTGCAGAATCCGTTGAAGGAGGGCGTAGAATATCAACCGACAACTCACTACACAAGGACGAATCTTGAGAACTGTCGAACGGTCGTACAAACGGTTTGCCGTTATTTTGTACTTGCTGATTCTCGAATTCAAGACTATCCAGTTCGGTTGTTTCCTCGATGCTTGAAAAAGTATTTATAGCATGATTTAAAGAATCATTGAAATCATCATTTAAGTCGAGAAGAATTGCCTCCTTATGCGGAACGTCTCCGTTCCGTTGCGACTTAGAATTAAGTTTGGAATGACCGTTTTGATAAGCAACTTTCTTGTTATCGTCCACACTCAGGTGGTTAATAATCACTTTTGACTGAATGGAAGAAGTCGGTTCTGAATCAATAAAAGAACCCAAGTCTTGATGAGCCATAGCTATTCTCTCCCAGTAATTCGAGTTCTGTTTGTTTTGAAGACTGGAAGCCGAATCTATTGGTTCTGAAAATAAAAGAAAAATAACAGAAGTATAAATAAAAGTAAACAATTGTGAATATTTCGATTAAACCCCAAGTAAATTAACGTTGGAAAATGTACTTATGAGATTATTTTGTTTGCATTAATTAATCCAGATTGAAATGCCATGGAGTATAAATAGATTTAGGAATGTTTTGTTAATTTTTATGTGTTTTGCTAGAGTATTTCGATATCGATGGGGAAGTAAATGTTTTTTTTTTTTAATTTCAAAGACGAACACAAAAGATATATCTAAAAGGAACTAATCTGTTCTCTAGGATAGAAAACAAAATATTTATTGTAATAAAAATAATGTTGTATCATATCGTAAAAAATAAATTTGTACGCACTTGAATGATAAAAAATTGCAACAAACAGTAAAAAAATAAGCTATAAATATAAATAATTTAGCTAGTACTTAAAAGAAACATCTATAGAAACCCGCCTTTGTTTATGTAGCTTAGTCTGACTAAATAGTGGAATTTGAGTATCACTCTTATAGCATATCCAGAGTGAGGAGCGCATTTTAGCGGCAACGGTACACGAATTTTGATTGTTTGTTTGTTTTGAATTTCGTGCAAAGCTACACGAGGGATATCTGCGCTAGCCGTCCCTAATTTAGTAGTGTAAGACTACAGGGAAGGCAGCTAGTCATCACCACCCACCGCCAACTCATGGGCTACTCTTTTACCAACGAATAGTGGGATTGACCGTTACATTATAACGCCCCCACGGCTGAAAAGGCGAGAATCTTTGGTGTGACGGGGATTCGAACCCGCGACCCTCAGATTGCGAGTTCAACGCCCTAACCATCTGGCCATGCCGGGCCCACGAATCATGAATTCTCGTATTCACAGTCTGAGTACGCTAAACACTAGGCCACGTCTAGTCCGACATTGGTTAAGAATTTCGTGTTAATGTAGATTTTAATTATGCTTTAATAAATCTGATCAAAACATTTTACATGTACAAAACATCTCAGTTAGAAAAAAAGGGTTAGTCATATAAAATTGTAATCTGAAAAAAAAAAGGGAAACCAAGTTATATGAAGGGTAAAACTTTTAAAAGTGGGAAATTAAATAATAAAAGTCGGACAATACATTGCCCCTCTTTATTGTTGCTGAAACTAGCGGCAACATGAATAACTAATAATATCACTGAACTCAATATCGTGTCTGCGGATATTTTGTACATGTTCACAAATAACGGTAAATTGCAATAATTTTTTCCTGTATTTAAATTTTTAAAATTATTTCGTACAAAATTATCAGAATTGTTATTTTATAATTTTTTTTGGCTGTGTGTTATTAAACACAAAGCTAAACAATGGGCTATCTGTGTTATGCCCACCGCGGGTACCGAAAACCGATTTTTAGCGTTATGATCCCCCAGGCTTACTGCTGAGTCATGAAAAAGCATTACATATGTTTAGTCTAATTAAGTATTCTGACTCTGACGCTCGAAATTAGCAAAAAGGCAAATGATAAAAACAGAAACATATTTAACCCCTCTTTGAAGGTCTTAACCTTAAATTTTGAAAGTATCAGCAAATTCTTTCTAGTTATTTTTTTTCCCGCTTACACATTTTGGACTGATGCTACAAAAATATCATTTTCTAAAATTAACTTTAACTGAGTCATAATTAATTACTTCATGTATTAATGAATATGTATACATCCTATTTATGTGTATAAATCTCCTATGTCATGTTTTATTTTCAAATATCAAACTAATTTTAATTACATGTAAGAATATTATTATTTTAATTATTTCACCAAAGTTAAATGTTGCAGGTGATGGAAACTGGAGTATTGAGGCCATGAGCCCCTGGTTTGAAAAAGTCTACAGTACAAAATTACTGTGGGTAAATAATAAATCTGCTAGCCTTGTTTACTTGATGCTCTAAACAGCATTTTTACAATATATATATATATATATATATATATATATGAAACACAGTACAGGAGGG